CCCACAGCGCTAGTTGCCGCAGACCAATCAAAGGGGCTGCTGGCCGGCCATTAGAACTCAGTAATTTCAGGATGGAGGAATCTTTTTCGACTAAGTACGTTCCTAAGTATGTTCCCTTGGCAGATGTCAAGTCAGAAAAGACAAAAAAGGGACGCACCATTCCCATGTGGATAAAAATTTTGCTGTTTGTTGTTGTGGCTATTTTTTTGTTTTTGGTCTATCAAGCTATGGAAACCAACCAAGGAAATCCCTTCAGTAAATTTCTTCCTGCCGAATCTGGAACATCCAACTGAATACCTATTTGGCACATTCAACTTGGTCTCCTGTTTTTAATAACTATAGAAAAACATTTGTGTACACTTGTTGACTCAAGAACTAAAAATAATGTGATTTCACCTCAATAAATGTAGTATTCCATTGAAAAGCAAACAATATATAAAAATGGACTTCATTTAAATGTTTTGGACTTCGGACAAGTAGGAGATCATTTTGTGCCATATGAATTATCTTTTCTAGCTCTGGAACTTTTTTGTAGGCTTTATTTTTTTAATGTGGACATCTTATTTCATTTTTGAGAAAAATGTATATTGTTTTTGTGTATTTGGGAAAAAAGGGCAAAACATGGTAATAAAATGTGAAACTACACATTTAAATACTTTGAATTCTTACAGAAAAGATTTTAAGAATTCTCTGCTGAATAAAAACTTTTACAGACATGTGAAACAATGAATTAAGAGAAAAAGTAACTTGATTTTACTTTCTGTAACTGCAACAAAGTTTGATTGTGTTTATGGGGAAGAAGTACAGCAATAATCTCTTCTGTAGCTTTTATTAATGGTAATGTTATTGTTGTAGCCCTGTCATACACACTTTTTAAAAGATTTCTAGTATCATGAAAGTCCTACTTCAGTAAGACCCATTTAAATACAGCTGATTTTTAGCAGGGATCTTTTAGTGCTACATATACGTGTTTTAGAGAACTATTAGCTGGCTGTACATGTTTTGAAAGCTGTGAGCTAGCTATAAGGCTACAATTGGGAATATGTACTTTTATTTACAGCAGCATTGGTTCTGTCAGTCCAGTTTGCTACCAAAACATTAATAAGTGTGTGTGTGTTTTTTTAGAAGTTAGAAACTTTAAACACTGGTCTTATGTTCCATTTGGATTTATTCTTGCATTGTCTTCTGTTACCAAAAACAGTTTTACCAATTTTTTTGCCCTATATTTCCCAATGTAATTTGATTATAAAGTGCAAAAGGTATTGGCTTTTAAATTACATAATAAGTAGTCATTGTTAAGTTGTAGACTCTGACTCTGAGGTGGGCATTATGATTTTGTTTACTCCTGAAATGGTTAACTTTGTCTTTGTGGTTGATTTATTTTACTTTTTTAGCTGAAACTTACCTCATGTATACTTGGTCAAGTAAAGTCATAGGTAACTGAAATTTCAATAGAATCAGGTAAAATATAAAAAA